CCCTAAGCAGTACTGCGAGGGTGTGCCCAGAGAACAAAGCCAAGCCTGTCAGTCAGAGGAGAAAAACATGCTCGGAACACAGGTAATATGTCATTCCATGCAGGGGCTTGTTAACTGGTGGCTGCTTCTGCCTGTGGCATCTGTCCGCTCACTCTCTAGCTGCATTGCTGAGTCCTGGGGACCCACAACACTGCTTTCAGCAGGCTTTTACCCACTTTAACCCTTCGTCTGCCTGGAGCACTTGGAGGGGTTGCTGAGAGACGGGGATCACCACCGCCCCACTGAAAAACAGAGCACCCTTCCTGAGTCTCCCCCTCTGAGAAACCAAAGAGAGAACCTTCTGGCTTCTTGTTACTGCTCTTCCCTGAGTAAGGTGACGTTTGTTATTTTATAGCTTGGTATCTTTTGGAAGACCCAGCGACAGCGAAGACAGAGAAACGGATTGAGATCTGGCACCTGTGCCGCCTTTTTTTCTCACCCAGCTTCTTAAATACATGCATTTAAATAGTCTTAGTAACCAGTTATGAGAGAGAGAGAGAGAGAGAGAGAGAGAGAGAGAGAGAGAGAGAGAGAACAAACTCTCTAAAGCAGTTGCATCCCTGCTGGCAACAACGTGTCCAGACTGAGTGGTCCCTCTGCGTTCTTTCATTCCACCCAGCGCCTGCTCAAAGAGCAGAAAGGTGGTTATTACCCTCAGCAAGGCTGGAGTCTAACACAGAGAGCAGGAGCATCCCCCACTTCTGCCCCGAGACAGCCAGCCTAAGCAGGGCACTAGACAGAACTGAACAGAGAATCTGAAGCAGGGGAGTAAGAACTAGTAAGTCCTTGCCGGGCGGTGATGGCGCAGGCCTTTAATCCCAACACTTGGGAGGCAGAGGCAGGTGGATCTCTGAGTTCGAGGCCAGCCTGGTCTACAGAGTAAGTTCCAGGATAGCCAGGGCTACACAGAGAAACCATGTCTCAAAAAACAAAACAAACAAACAAAAAAAGACACCAAAACAAACAAACAAACAAACAAAAAAAGAACTAGTAAGTCCTTCTATTCTCCCTCCCCTCCCAGGGAGAACGAGGCCACAGAAGGCAATGACATCAGGGAGCATCCGGGTGTAGGATGTCCAGCTCTCCATACGGTTTTAGAAACCAGTTCGGTGGTTCCTGCCTCCTCCCCCCATGGAGGTGATAAGAAAGGCAGAGAGGGGGTGGACCAGGCAAACACTGGCCCCATTCCCTTCCAAAGGCTCTCCTGTTGCCTGTTGCATAAAGTGGGTCCTGAAAATGGTAACATTGCACAGGCCATTCCTTTTCAGACTATCTGCCCCTGGGTGCTTCACGTGCTCGGGGAGGCACTCTGGCCTGGGCAGCAGGGCTGTGACCCAAGCAAACGAGTGTCCCCACTTCCTGCATTTGCTCTCAGTGCTTTTGTATCAGTGGTGAACGCAGATTCAAAAAGCAGCTCACAGGCTGGAGAGATGGCTCGCAGGGTAAAGTGCTTCCCGAAAAGCGTGGGGAACGGATGATTGTAAAAGCCAAGCGCTGTGCAGAGCACCTGTAATCCCAGCCCTGGGAGGAAAGAGACAACAGGATCCCTGGAGCCCACTGGCCAGCCAGTTTAGCCAAACCAGGTCAGCTAGAGACTCTCAAAAAGAAGGTGGGGAGACAACTGAAGAGGCCACTCAATGCCAGCCTCAGGTCTCCACATACATGCATGCCTACATACATGTGTGCCCACACATGTTTATCTATATCCATATCCGTATGCACATGCTTGTGTGCACCCACGTGCGCACGCATGCACAGACACACACACACAAACACACCAACTTGCACTGGAAAGGGGGTCACTCTAGTCTCTGCCAAACACCCAAGGGGAAAAAAACACAATGAAGTGTACAATCAACAGAGAAACAATATTGGCTCCCCCAAATAACCGGAGCAACAGAAAACAATATTCAGAGTAATTGTTGACTAAGACCTCTCACAGAGAAAGAAAGATCTCTGCTTGTCTTTGAAGACTAATGAGGCCAAGACACTCATAAAATTTACTGGGAACTTACACTATGCATGAGAATACGATAAAGTCACATAGCTGGACTTACAGTAACAGAGCAAGAGCCACAGCTCCCAAACTGCTTCTCTAGGAGGCTTTTAGATCCTTGGTTTGGCTGGTGTTGAATACCACTTCAATTTCAGGAAATTCGCCTTCCACTGATGAAAAACAAAAAACCTGGGGCTGGAGAGATGGCTCAGTGGTTAAGAGCACTGACTGCTCTTCCAGAGGTCCTGAGTTCAAATCCCAGCAACCACATGGTGGCTCACAACCATCTGTAATGAGATTTGATGCCCTCTTGTGGTGTGTCTGAAGACAGCTACAGTGTACTCATAAATAAAATAAATAAATCTTTAAAAAAAAGAAAAAAAGAAAAAGAAAAACAAAAAACCCCGCCACACAAAATTCTCCACCAGGAGAATAGAACCGCCTCTATCCTAGAACTGTCAGCATAAATAAACAACTTGTCCAAAGTAACATTGATAGGCGAGCCCACGCTATAGGAAACGTGTTCAAATAAGGAGAGTCTATTGAGCCACCAGCACCGACCACACAGATGATGACGGCATGTGTCTGTGACTCTTTAGTTGACAGGGCAGTTTCATAATGACAGGAAGTGACCATCTGTGTATGTGTTAGGGTCAGAGGTCAATCTCGGGTGTCCTTCCTCAGCACCGTCATGTTGGAGGGTTGATGCATGCCGTGGTGTACAGACGGGTCAGAGGTCAGACCTCTCCTTCTATCACGTGGGTCCTGGAGATCCAATTCAAACTGCCAAGGATGGCGGCAAGCATTTTTACCCACTGAGCCATCTTGCTGGATGTCCACCTTGTTTGGCTCTTGTGGTTTTAAGATAGTCTCACTGGGAACTAGCTACCAGGTTGACCTCAAACTGAGAGACCCACCTGCTTCCTGGTACTGAGGTTAAAGGCGTGTACCTAGCCCATCATGTCTTTTGAGGCAGGGTCTCTTGCTTGGTCTGGAACTGAATAGGCTAAGCTGGCTGGCCAGGAAGCCCCAGGGATCCTCCTGCCTCTGGCTCCTCGGCGCTGGGGTTACAAGCACAAACCACTACACTTTTCTTTCCTTTGATATGGATTCCAGGGAACAAATGATTGCATGACACCAGCTGACTCTGTGGTGGGGAATCTAAAAAGAATTTTGGGGGAAGCACTCCTGCCCTGTGCTCTACACTGAAGAACTGGGGGATTCTGGGAGCCTTTCAACATCGCACCAGCATATCTTTGGCTTCTGCACAAACTCCTGGCCCCGTGATCAATGGAAGAGAAACCTAAAATAAATTTCGATCACTCAGCAAGCCAATCGACCCAACAGACTTCACTAAGGCTTTCTCTTTGAAAGCCTATTACTCACAAAAACCTATATTTTTTAAACTATTTTTACAATTTACACTCACCTCTCAGAACCCTGAAGGTGTCTTCAGCTAATGGTGTTATAGAAAGCCCACCTAGCTGCTTGAAATGGCTGCAGATTCACCGTGAATTTAAAGCAGTTTAGGCTCTTAAGAAGTAAGGATAGATTCCAAATTACCAAATGAGAAGCAAAATTCTTTTTGTTTTTTGAGACAGGGTTTCTCTGTGTAGCCCTGGCTGTCCTGGAACTCACTCTGTAGATCAGGCTGGCCTCGAACTCAGAAATCCGCCTGTCTCTGCCTCCCAAGTGCTGGGATTAAAGGTGTGTGCCACCACTGCCTGGCAAGAAGCAAAATTCTTAAGTAAAGGGATTATCTGCTAAAAATTAAAAAAACAAAACAAATGTTCAAGAAAAAAATGAGAAACCGAAAATATTGTAAAAAGAATCTAGCCCTCTCCAATTAGCTTAAGAGAGAAATGGAGTCAATCTTATCAACAAATGCCGTTTTACAAAGAAAAAGAATAAAAGCCATGCAGTCCTGCACAGGGGACTCACAGATAAGGATCTGGGGTCTTCCGTGGCCCTAGTTACAAGTTTAGAGAGTTCAATCACAGGTAGTGGTTAGACTACCATTAAATATGAGTCTTCAGTGGAAAGCATACGCTCTTTGGTGATGGCTATGGAAACTTGTATGAAGTTGTCAGTATAGGGGAGTCGGCACACAGACAGGACGTGTGGCACCCAGCAGAACTATGACACTATGGATTTGTGGCCAGCTAACACCCGAAGACACCCTGAGGTGTGTCTTCTGAGCTGCCTGGGGACGGCTGGATTTGAGTTCACCTGCTGTCACTAGGCTGAAGGCCAGCCTCCATCTGCTTCCCCTTGAAGCCTCAGCCCCTCACTGAAGGACCTCTGTCCATCCATGGAGCCCTACACAAGCTGCAGATGAACACCTCCAGGATGACTACGAAACTCGAGTGTTCTAGGATCTAGAATGTTTTCAAGGCTGTATCTCAAGTCCCCATCTGGTCTCACTGTCACGAATGAGGTTTCTTAGGGCACTGGGAAAGCAGTGCAGGTCAAAGCCATGTGTGAGCATGGCCTTGGGTGACCTCTCAAGTGACAGAAGGCAGAGGTGCCTGCATCCCAGTCCTCGGAGTTACTTCACCAAAGTACAATGTGGCAACCAGGCACAGTGGACTGGAACGAACCCAGCTTGCTACTACCCCACCCCAAGTACATCTAAACGGGTTCCATTGTGGGAGCTCCCAGAAGGGGTCCACTGTGGTGAGCATGGGAGAGCGGGGGCCCACTGTGGTGAGCATGGGAGGGCGGGGTCCACCGTGGTGAGCATGGGAGGGCGGGGTCCACCGTGGTGAGCATGGGAGGGCGGGGCCCACCGTGGTGAGCATGGGAGGGCGGGGTCCACCGTGGTGAGCATGTAACAGTGGGGCTGACTGCAGTGAGCATGGAAAAGTGGGGTTCACTTTAAAGATGTGGTGATCCCTACAGTACCTATGGTGAGAGTGGGGTGGAGGAAGGCAGAAGGCAGAGAAAAAACAGACCACTTGGCAACTTAATTAATAAACATCACCGTTTATCCTGTTTTCTTAAAAATCCCACGGGAGGGTGGCTATAAATAAACAGTAGCTGTACAGTCTTCCGTGGAGGCTTTCCACACCAAGAGGCGACACGGATGGAGTCCAAGGGGCTAAGAACACAAGGCATGGACAGCCTACTGATGGTGACAATCGCTCTGATCCACTTCTTCACCGTGGCAATGGGGCAGCTAAAGCATAAGGAATCCCCTGCCAGCCACACGAGTCAGGTCTCCGACAGCAGGCCAGGGAGGAAGAGGGCCGCGACAGGTGGCTTCGCTGGGGCTGGAGCAGCACAGACTTGGTGGCTGCAGCTTGACAGAGCTCCCCTTGTCACTATCGTGGGACAAACCTCAGGGGAGGCTGGGGTTCTGTGGTATCGAACAGCTCAGTACCGCAGTGGGTCCAGCTACAAGACTGAGGCTGTACAGAATGGTCATGGCCACCCTGCCATCCCAGCTATGGGGAAGAGCGAACCCACACCACAGTGGGGCACTGGTAGATACTTGGAGCCATTGGAATCGAGAGAGAGAGGGATTACAGATGGAAACCTCTGAAATTTCCACTTCCTCCACCCTGCTAGGAACATGCCGAGCCCGTGCCCCAGCCCATCCGTTGGCTGCAGTGTCCAGGGTGAGGACACTCAGTCAGCGGGGTAGAAGCCCAAGGCAGATGGGATGTTCTAGATCATCTATTTCTCTGAGAAAGCAGAGCCAGGAGAATCCTGCCCCAGGCTTCTGGGCACACACAATCCACCCATCAGATTCAGGCGGGAAAGGACGCCCGCTGCTCTTCAAAGACCCAAAGACAATTGTTAAAATGAGCTTCCCTTCAAACTCAAAGGAGGTCTGAAAAAGGACTGAGTATAAACAAGACAAGAGAGGAATTCAAGGAAGGTGGATGAGCCCCAATACTCCGAAAGCAAGAGTCTCTGGTGACTGAGGTCTGGAAGAGGCCGAGGCAGGAAAGAGCGGTACAGAGATGGAAGTGGCGGCCAAGTGAGTGCCCTGAAGACTCCACAGTGTTCTCCATGTCCCAGGCCAAGGAGCTAGTCCCGGTAAGTTAAGAATTTTCTATTAAGAAGAAAACAAAACAAAAATAAAAACCACTCCAGAAAAAGGGTCAGGGGAAGAGGAAGCACGGAGAAAGTCAAGCCGCTGACCGCCGGCGGATCACGAAGAGCCCACGCTGCAGCTGGCCCAGGTAGATCCGCATCTTGGTGCTGTCGCTGGTCTTCCTCACCCAGATCTGTGGGGACAAGACCAGGGAAGGTGAGAGAGGCAACTCCTGCACAGCTTGGGTGTGGGCCGTGTCTGCCTGAAGAGGACATCCGAGCACCCGGCTCTAGAGGCAGCCCCCGGAGTCTGACCACTGTGGAGGAGCAACCTGTGCCCATGCTTCTAATAGTGTCAGCGCCATGTCTGCCTCAGCCATCAGGACTCCAGACTTAGCGATGATATTTTCCAACACCCAAAAGATATCATTCAGGAGCAACAGCTTTTCAAAGCAATTTAAAAATATTTTCCTTGCTCCAAGGAAATTCCCTCACTTAGCCTTCCAATGGTCCCTTTGCCTCAACAGCTCCTTGGCCCCTATGGGGTGCACTTGGGGTGATTCATTCACAGTTACCTCTCCTTCTCACTGGCTTTCCATGGCTTGAGAAATTAAATGGCCTAAAGCAAGGTTTGTGGCAAGCCGAGCCCTCACAGGGCTCTGCAGAGAGGGTTCTGCTCTCCCCTCAGGCTTCAGGCTGGCCTTTTCCTTCCAGTCTCCCCCTTTTCTTGAGAGTAATAAGTGACCGGAGAATATAAGGAGAGCACACAGCTTAAACTGGAACAAGCTGAAGGCCCCAGTAAAGCTGAGCCTCCTGCTGGACCACTTAAAACAGAAAACTGACCTAAGTGGACCCACCCACTGGCCCACCAGCCAAATGTGCCCACAAAGGCAAAGCAGCTCCAGAGTATGTGGCAATGGGTCTGAACACGGGCTGGAGCACTCCCAAGGATTGTGGCTGCCCCTCCATCACCAGGTGCAGAGCTGTGACTCCCCCCCCCCCAGGCTCTGTCTCTTTGGGAGCCCCTCGTCACCATTGGGTCACTGGACCACACTGACAGCCTATGACAGAATGTGATAGTCTTCACATCAGGCCCCACAGAGGCCTGTGTGCTCTGCAGAGCAGCCCAGCACACAATGACAGGCCCTCTTGGCAGGGGAGCACTACGTCTCTCTGGTGGACCCCGGCAGGTTCTGGCTCAGAGGCAACTCTCATAGACAGCCTAGGAAAGACACTCCTCCATCCGAGGCCGTCTCCAACTTCCTAGCAAGCTATCATTTTGCAAACTGGTCGCATTTGAGAGCATTTTGGATTCAGGAAGCTGAGAATTCCGGCGGCTTAAGTTATTTCATAATCCAGTTTCATTAGATTTGCTGTGCACGGGCACAAACCGCTAACAGAGGAGAGACACATAAAAATCAATTTCTCTGCAGACATTTGCGACTGATAAAAAAAAAAAAAAAAATCAAGCCAATGCAGCCATCCAAGTTTCAGACTTTTTAAAACTTGTAATGGTGTAGGTGAGACACTGCCGACATCTTCCTAATGAAGGGCTAGCAGGAGCCTCAGGGCAGTCCGAGTATCCTCAGGTAGCACACAGCAGCCTTGCGTGCAGAGTGGCCTGGCAGCTCGGCGTTCAGAGGCACAGCAAAGCATGTTAGACTGGAAGAACAGCCAGGAATGGCCGGCCAGTGACACCAGCACCCATTTACTGAGCACTTCCTGGTGGAGGGCCTCGTGCCCAGTGACCCACTAGTCCTCACAGACAAGTCGGTTGGGATGTAGGAAAGTATGCAGCCACTAGGGGGCAGCAGAGTGCTTACTCGCCTTTTGCTCTCTGGGCCCAGAGCATAGATAGCTGCAGGGCCTGGCTCAGGCCAGCACGGAGGGAGGCTCTGAGGGAGGCTCTGAGGGTGCTGCTGACAGTTTTCACCCCCAGAGCTGACCACACCTCCCCACCAACAGGAGACAGGACTCTACTGCACTTCTGGGGTGGGGCTTTTTGTCACGTCCGTTGTACTTCCAACACCTCTCAGGACACCTACCTCATTGGCTCCCACTGAGCTGATCACGCAGCTCAGTTTCTGGTTGTCCTTAGACTCCAGGTAGATGGCCTGGCTCTTGTGGTACCTGCCAGAATCAGGACACAAACAAAAATATCAGGACAGAGGGAAGGGCGGGAAAACAAATACCACAGTGACAGAAACCGTCACTCCAGGAGTCTCAGCAACACGCGACCGAGCACTTTGGAAGACAGACAGACAGGCAGGCAGGCAGGCAGGCTGGCTTCCACCTTGACACTGGTGTCATCAATCACTGTTTCTTTGAAACAGGGTCCCTCACTCAACCTGGACTCTCTGATTCTGCTAGACCCACTGGCAGCAGGGAACCCCCAGGGAGGCTCTGCCGCAGCCTCCTTGGCACCCAGTACCACAATGACAAAAACGTGCCATCATGCCTCGCCTTTTGCATGGGTGCTCCGGATGCAAACCCAGGTCCTCATGCTCATGTGTCCTGACCATGAGTCTTCCCAGCTTCAATAAGCACGTGTCTATGCAGAAAGGTACAGAAAGCTCCCTTCTGAGCCGGGTAATGGAGACAATCCGGACAGGGAACACAGAACCATGAGGTAGGTCCAAAGGAGGGATGTAGAGCGGAGAAAAAGCAACTGAATTCTACATACTACCAAAAATCCTATTATCATAATAAAATTAACTCCATTCCCCAAAGCCTGACCCACCCCACAGCTCTAGAGTCTCAAGGGACCACACTGTCACTGGAAACAGGCCCCGCATTCAGGTGACAGCTAGAAGGTTCAATCTACTCAGTGAGGAGTCACTCCATCTCTGGGCACATTGGCAGCTCCAGATTTAAAGGTGGGCAAGGAGAGGAAAGGTAGAGAGTGGGAGAGAGGAAGAGAGAAAGTGTACACATACACACACATACATACACACACACACACACACACACACACACACACACTGTACCGCCTTCAGCTAGCTATCTCAGCTCTCTCCAGAATGTCTTCTGTGAGGGGTCATTAGTCTACGTCAAAGCATCAGGCAAACTGACAGCACAAACTAAATGACAAGGAAAGCAGGGGACCGAGGCGAAGGCGGGATGCAGCTAGACAAGGCCAGGATAGAGCCCTAACCCGCACTGTCCTACTGACATCATTAAAGCCCTGAGGAAACACCCTTTGTACCCCACCTCTAGAAAGACATCAGGACTCAGAAGCTCTATCGGTGGGAGCTGTGTCTACAAAAGGGAGCACAGAGGAAGCTTCCAGAGACAAAGGAATAAAAGCAGAGCACGGGGCCTGATGGCAGGGTTTCGGGGGAGGGCGCTGACAGGCTAGTTCTGGGCAGGCCTGAGGCAGGGCTTCCCAAGCCCCCTGCAATAAAGAACAGGGGGGACAGGGCCAGCTGCCATCACCTCCACAGGACTGACTCTGGACTCAAAGGGGAGAGTACTAGACCAAGAAAGAAAATGGCATCCCAAAATGTGTGTAACAGCACAAGAACAACTTCAAAATTCAGCAAAGAGGAGAATGTTTGGGTTACACAAATGTATGGGTGTCTTTTGAATCAGTTCTGCTCACATGCGGAATACTTGAGTTCTGACACTGCAGACATCTGTGCTGAGAGAGCCAGACGCCAGCGGCGTGCCTCCCTCTTTTTAGAAAGAAAAAAAGGAGGAAGGAGGCAGATAGATAGATAGCTGGATAGATAGATATAGATTTTACTATATTTTCCTCCTCAAGATATTTCATAGTCTCAGGACCAAGTCCAGAAAGTCGGAGCGTGGAGGCCACAGTTACAAAATGAATGCCATCTGAAATATCACATTGGCTGGAAAATGCACAGATCCATAGAACCGTTAGCCATCAATCTCACCGTTCCCGAAGGCCATTCTTACACGAGGGCCTGATCTTTAAAGGTTATTTGGTTTTCATTATTACAAACATTTTTTTTTTAATCTCACTTTGCCCCTAGTGTTAAGCAGCTAGGGCCTGCCACCTAGTGGTGGCAGTAACAAGCAACAAGCAAAGCCAAGACAGGAACACCCACAGCAGTCTGCATGGACGGGTCCACAGCTCGGATTCGGACAACAGGGGAAAAATTATCTGCATTAACATGAGCCTCGGAAAGTCAGCCCCACTGCCAAAGTGACACTAACACTGGGAATCTGACCCTTAACTAACAGAGCATATTTACACAACATCTGCACCATAGTTGATATAAGATGACATGTGAGAGTCAGAGAGAGAGAGAGAGAGAGAGAGAGAGCGAGAGAGCACAAGCACTCGTGCCATGTCCCATGTGGGAAGTCAGAGGGACAGCTTGCTCAAGCACCGCCCCCTCAGCAGCCCCAGAACTGGTCCTTATGTACACACTGCAGTTTGATGCAGATAAGAGAGCGTTGTGCTTTGGGCTTCTGAGGTCCTGGGACCGCCATGGCAGTGAGGGGTGACTAGACATGACAGGAAAGGAGCCAGCCTGGGATTGCCATCAACTCGCAAGGCCACACCACCACTAACTCGTCAACTTCTGGCTAAATAAAACGCTGAAACAGGAGCGATCGCCAGGCTGTTATAAACAGTGACAGCAGAAGCTTGAGTGAGCCACGCCTCCTCCATACAGCCAGGTCCACGTCCACGCCTGACTGCACAGGAACGGGACCAGCAGCCCTGAAGGATGGCAGGAGTGAGGTGCTACCTGGGATGCCTAACCAGTGTTTGTTGAATGAATAAACGTATGAGCTTCTCCATTGTCTCCAATGAAAGTCCCAGACAACCGGATCGGCTCAGCTACGTGTTTTAGGATATAACCTCCCATCTACACTTCCTGGAACACCGTGAAAGTGACAAGAATGTCTAAGAAAAGGTTACTGCTGTCAAGTGAAGAGCATCTACCCTATGAGAACCCTGCAGCATTGAGAAGAGCACCCACTCAGCTCAGGCAGCAGAGCCCTCCTCTAGCCTGGTTAGATCACAAGATCCTTTCCTCCTGTCACCTTCAACACAGAAGAGGGGGTAGAGGAGGACATATACCCTGTCATGGCTAGCTGGGGACAGCAGCACGGTGCAGAAAGCACCAGGGGACACTCGGAGAAACCCTGCCCTCAGTGACCTCACAGAGGCACCCACAGAGGCCCTCGGTCTTCAAGAAGAATCTCACTCAAGACTCGAGTCTGGGCCAGAGGCCCAGCACATGGGTTTGATCCTCTGCATCACCCAAAGAAATTAAACTAATAAACAAAGTGGTAAGCTGAGAAAACACCGAGACATCATGGGCTTGCCCAGCTCCAACCCTCCAACCTGCTCTCCTGAGGCCGCTGTGAGCAGCCCCCCCACAGCCCCCCCACAGCCCCCCCC